TTTCTGTGGGACAGAGGGAATTCTAAGGCTCCAGAACTGTATTTATTGACAATGTAAAAAGAGAGAGGTCTGAACCTAAACTCCAGGTCTAAAAACTTCTGGACTTCCCAAAGTTCAGAGGTTTTTAGGCCTGGAGTTTTGTTCAAACCCATCTATATTTACACTCAATAAATACAGTTCCAAAGATGGAAAATTCCACCTGTCCCACAGAAAGGGAACATTTTTTTTCACAGAATCTCATTGTTATTCAATAAAATACACCTTCTGGGGCAGGGAATCCCTCATATAGGAAGTGGAATTTTAATGTTCCAAGAGTGGAAGGTGCTCCTGCTGACTGTTCTTCCTAGTACAGAAGCTTTAGTCTCATTGTCCCATGGAATCTTTCCTTAGGATTTGTGAGAAAGGAAGAGAGGGGAAATATACCTGTTTCATTTCTTGAACAAAATTACAGGGACCAAACTGGGGCTGAACTTGAGGGAAAGCAAGTAGAGAGGACACAGGATTGAGTTTCTGAATCTAGGGAGTGAACCAAATCAAAAGGGAATTCTGCCTACCGTTTCAGCCCTGGCCTAAATCATAAAATCCCCAAGTGATTCAGTTGTTGTTCTCGCTCAGAGGGAGGAGGTCTCAGCTGTCCACTCCAGATGGTATTGCCCAGGAAAATATCCCAAGAAACAGTCCCTTTTTATGTAATATTTTTATTCAGCCTAGTCCTGGAACCTTTATAAAATGCAGGCATCTTAGTCATAAGTGCCTTGCCATTAAAGATAAAGGGGAAGGCATTTGGTTGCAAAGAGTTGTTTTTGCAAATATTCACTGTGTTGCTTTGCTATTTCTAAGTGAACTTTATGTTCTCTGTATGCTCTAATTCCAAGGAAGAATTACTATTGGCCCCAAATGAGCACCCTCTCCCCAGATGGCTGGACACTGGCTTGAAACTTTTCCTCATATATTCTCATGATAGTTATTTTACCCTCTCTCCCACTTCATTTTCTTTCCACTGGGACCCATCCTGTCCACTGGGGTTTTGAGGTAAAATGATTGCTGCATTAAAAATATTGCCCTTTCTTAATATATACACCTTGAGCATAACAAGTTGGACTTGGTCTGAGAGATGGTCCCTGAATAGCTGCTAATGGCAAAGTTTGCTTGTGTTTCCATGTGCCTCCCCGCAGATGACTGCATATGGAGCTTTCCTCCACAAGGGCTCCTTCTGCAGGAACTACTTCAACATCCTAGACTTGCTGGTGGTCAGTGTGTCTCTCATCTCCTTTGGGATCCAGTGAGTGAGCCATTCTTGACTGAGATAATCCACTGGTCTGTTGGGAGGGCGGGAGGGGGTGGGGGAGGGGAGGTACTAGATGGATTGTGTTGGCTTTTCTGTACAAGTTTTTATTTATTTTTTACACTCCCCTTAACAACAGTCTTCTTAAAGCCTCAGAATTGTTTTGCAGACTCGTTCAGGAAGTGGCTCATACTAGCAAGGCTCAATACGAATTGGGTCATGCTGTCTGTCGGTAATGACCTGGAGCGGGAGATATCGGAGATAGCAAATGAAAGAGAAGAGTGTAGTCCAGCAGTTAAGATAAGGAACTGGGAGTCATGAAACTCTCGGGCTCTCACAGTGTTACTTCAGGAGAGTCTTTATACCGCCCTGTGATTCAGTTACCTCTTCTGTAAAATGGGGTAATATAGATCTACTTCACAGAGGTGTTTTTCCTTAAGGAATGTTTGCAAGGCACTTTGAGAGCCTAGGGAGAAAGCTGCAATAAAATTACAAAATTGTTGTTGTTGTTGTTATTACCCAAGCCCTCCTTTCATAAACCTTACCAAGCGTATGGAAGCACTTGGTTCTGTTAGAACTGTCTGCCTCACACAGAAGATCTGAGGATAAAGCCAGGGTAATTCCTACCTAACAAGAACCCAGCTGATCCCAAAGCAACTTTACCTTGTTCCTATTATGCGAATAACAGCTTCCTTAGGGCCTGATCCAAAGCCCATTGAAGTCAGCAGAAACATTCCCTTTGACTTCAGTGGGTTTTCTATCAGCTGCTTAACAACTGTTCAATGCTCATTTTGGCCATTATCCCCAGCCCTTGAAGAACTTGTTCAGGCTCTTCATATGCTAGCAACAGGAGAATGTTCCCAAAAGCTGTAGGCGGGGGCCTGACACCTTACAACTGCAGGAGGGATTCTTCATCGGGGCTCACTCCTGCATGGTGCTGACTGAGCTCTCTGCCCTAGATGTAGCAAAGCATTCATCCACATGCTTAAAGTTAAGCATGTGAGTAGCCCCACTGAATTCAAGAGGACTATTCATCTGCTAAAAGTTCAGTACATGCTTAAGTGTTGTGCTGGATCAGAACCCAAATGCTCAGTACCTTGCCAAGTCGAGCCCAAGGTTGGATGAGGAACCTTTAAATTCATGAGACACCAAGAATTAACTGATGTGCTCCTTTCTTCTTTTAACACATCAGCGCTGTGCTCCTTATCTTAAAATGTCTTGCGATGATTGCATCTTGGCACCGTTTGCCATTGCACATCTGTCGTGTATTTGGCAGCTTGTCCTGTTCGAGAGAGCCCTCCCTGTGTTCTGATCGTTTTGTGAATACAATGGAGATGGCTAACGCTAGAGGGATGTACCCTGGGACTCTGATCAAGAGGCAGGGCTCACCTGGACATTTCAGTAGGGCAGCTTCCCATCCTATCTCAGGGCTTTCTGAAGTGCTTCCTAAAAGCTCCTTCCTTTCACAGAAAGTTCTGAAACATGGCTAAAATTACATTTTACAAAACTAGATGTATTCTGAGGAGAGTATCTACCATTCTTGATGTCTCTGAATTATATATTTATTCACATCAAGG